AAACATGAAATCAAGATAATCTGGTAACTACTGGTGATTGGAATACAAAGTTGAAAATATGAGGGTTCAGTAGTTGGAAAATATAGCTCTGGTAATAGAAATGATGCTGGAGATGGCACAACAGAATTCTGCAAGACCAAAGATTTATTCTAAATTCTTTTTTTAAACAACAAAGTAATAGCTATTACTGTGGACCTCACCAGATGGGATACACAGAAATCAAACCGACTGTATCTATGGGAAGAGATGATGGAGCTCGGTATCATTGGCCAAAATAAGGCCAGGAGAAAACAGAAGACTTATTAAAAGAAAAGACCTATAGAAAAAAAGCAGACAGTCTGACTATCTGAATATCAAGCAAGCTGTTTGTTTTGGAGATATCAAGGAAAGAAAACTCAGCCCATCAGGCAAAAGGCCCTTGAAAGATGAAACTCAAAGAGAATCTATGAGCAGTATATTATGCTCGCTGGTGACCACCTGGGTCTACTTGTGAGGGGAAGTGGGGGAAACGCAGCAATGAAGACATGGGCTGAGTCTGGCCATGTTCTATGGGCACCCACCAACCTTGAGATGAGAGAAAGGAAGGGCTGGCTGAACAGTAAGCTGTGTGAACTCCTGAGCCCAGGAGCACTGACCTCGCCCCTGGAGGACAGGGCTGAGTGAAGCAGCCAGATGGCCTGAAGTGCAGGGAGGTGTGCTGGAACTCCCAAACTTGTAGCAAGTACCCAACCCATCTGATCTAGCATGGGTGGCTAGTGGACCACAACTTAAGCTGAGGAAGATAACGATGTTTGATACTATGAACAAGCATAAACTGCTACAGTTTGATAATCTAGACTTTTGCCTATGAATGTGATGTGCCATGGAGTCGGTTCTGACTCACAGCGACCCTGCACAGTGTTTCTGAGGCTGTAAATCTTTACGGGAGCAGAAAGCCTCATCTTTCTCCTGCGGAACAGCTGGTAGTTTTGAACTGCTGACCCTGAGCTTAGCAGCCTGATTCGTAACCACTACACTTCCAGAGCTCCTTGCCTATAAATATAATGGCTGAAAATTCCAACTGGAATTTCATATCAGAGAACCACCTTATTTCCTCAGTGTACTGGGTTGGTAAGGAAGAGAAATTTAGACATGGTTCAGGGTGGCTATGGGTTGGAATCGATGCAACAGCACTTAACAACATCAAAACGGGGAGCTATAAAGGCATGAGTGTGGCTCTGTGGGTTAATGCACTGGACTGCAAAGTTGGTCTGAACCACGAGGTCAGCAGTTCAAGCTCACCAGCTGTTCCTCGGAACTGACTCGACAGCACTTAACAACAATAAAGGCATGAAGAGGCTGGCTTACAAGCTTCCACGAGTATACTTAGCTTCAGAATGACAGGGCTAAGGCAGAATCCCCACCGAATAGTTTCCCTCCTTTCCAGATGGATCTGGTGAAAGGAGAAGCAGGACAACGGTGATAGGATTTTGACTCAATTGTGAATAACTGTTAGTAGGATTAACTGTGACTGTCACAAATGTAATGTATAAGGGGACAGTAATCTTTAATTTCAGAAACAGATGATCGCAGGACCATCAAGAAGAAAGAGCCTGAGTGGAGCATGAAACAGCTCCCTAGAAAAGCAGCCACAGCAGAGGCAGTGGCAGAGGTGGTGACGTGGAGAGACAGAGCAGCTGTGGGTTCTTGGCCCAGGGACCGAGAAAGGCTGTGTGCCTGTGGGTAGGAGGCTGGCTGGCAGAATGTGCCCATTTGACATTTAAATGAATATATATTTTTTGTTTTGTTAAGTGTACATCAAATATTTTTGTCTTGTTCATTTGTGAAATATAAGACGTAAATGGGGAGCCACAGGGAGGGAAGTAGGATAAATGTTGCAGGAAGGGGATTATAGTAATAAAAAAAAAAATAATAAAGACATTTTAAAACAAAAAAGGCTAGGGGCTGACTGGAACAGAGCACCATTTGCTCATATGCAAGTTCAGGTTAAAGCAGAAGGGAATTAAAACTCGTGTACAAGAACCAAAATAAGGCCTTGAGTATATCTCACCTGAATTTAGAAACCATCTCAAAAACAGATTTAATGAATTACATACCAATAATGACTGATAATCAGAAGAGTTGTGGGATGACATCAAGAACGTTATACATGAAGAAAGCAAAGAATAAAATGTATGTCAGAAGACATGCTGGAACTTGCTCTTGAATGTAGAGTAGCTAAAGCAAATGGAAAAAATGAAGTAAAGTGCTGACCAGAACATTTCACACGGCAACCCTGGAAGACAGAGCATTGTAATGAAATGTGTAAAGACCAAAAGGGATGAACACAGCATTTCTCAGGCTGAAAGAACTGAAAGAAGAAAGTTCAAGTCTCGTGATACGTGTCAGCTTGACTGGGCGGGATCCTCCATGGTTTGCAGTTCATGTTGTTATTTCTCAGGATAAGATCTGCTGTGATCAGCCAGTCCATTGAAAGGAAGTTTCCTCAGGGTTGTGCCCTGCATCCAATAGACTGGACACTCAGGCAAAGCCTGCTTGCTTTCTGCTGGGTCTGGGTCCTGCATCAGGCTCATCATCTGACCTCCAGTTCTTTGGACTCGAACCAGTGACCTGCTCTACTGATTGTCCATCTTGGGAGTTGTCAGCAGCCTGCCATCTGATCTGCCAACCTTGGTCCATCTGACCCACGGACTTGAAACGTTCCCCCTCTACAAACGTGGGTGCCATTTCCTTGACAGAAACTTCTCTAGGTCACTGGGGTTACTGCCCTAGAGAACTCACCCTAAGGGAGTCTCAACTTAAGGATTCTACGGGCAAAATACTAAACGATGCAGGAAGCATCAAAAGAAGATAAAAGAAATAAAACACCCAGAGTCTCTGCATCAAAGAGAACTGGTTAATGTTCAGCCATTTCAAAAGGCAGCATATGATCAAGCCCAATGGCATTAGAGGAAGAAGTTCAAGCTGCAGAAGCTGATAAACTTCCCACTGAAATGCTTCAGTAACAGAGGCAGGGCTGGACGCACTGACTAGCTTATGCCAAGAAATGTGGAAGACAGCTACCTGGCCAAGTGACTGGAAATGAGCCATTATTTGTGTCCATTCCAGAAACGTGACCCAACGGGATGCGGAAATTATAGAACAGTATTGTTAATATCAGACACGAGGAAAATTTTGAAGATAATTAAAAAACGGTTGCACAGCACATGGACGGGGCCCCGTGAGAAATTCAAGTAGACTCAGAAGACAACATGGCACTAACGGTATCGTTGTTGACGTCAGATGGAAGTTAACTGAAAGAGATTCCAGAAAAGATGTTTATGTATGCATTACTGAGTATGCAATGGGGTGGATCATAAGCCACTATGGATAAAGCTGCCAAGGATGGCTATTTCAGAACACTTAAATGTGCTCATGAGGAACCTGTGTGTACCTAGAACAGGAGGCAGTCATTTTAACAGACTAAGACGACACAGAATGGTTTAAAATCAGGAAAGGTGTGCGTCAGAGTTGGATCCTTTCCCCATCCTTGTTCAGTCTGTACGCTGAGCAAAGTAATCTAAGAAGCTGGATTATCTGAAGAACAAGGCATCAGGACTGGAGGAAGACTCGTTACTGTTAAGTGCCACTGAGTCAGTTCTGACTTATAGCGATCCTGCATAGGGTTTCCGGGGAGTGGCTGGTGAGTTTGGACCACCGACTTTGTGGTTCAAACCGACTTTGCAGTCTAGCACATTATCTTGCAAGGCACACCAGGGCTCCCAGATGACTCAGTAACAACCTTCAACGTGCAAATGATACAACCCTGCTTGTTGAAAGCCAAAATGACTTAAAACACTTACTGATGAAGACCAAAGACTGCAACCTTCAGCATGGATTGCAATACTTGGACCAGTAAACAAGAGCTTATAAATAGAAGCAAGACTGAAGTTGTCAAGAATTTCATTTTACTTGGTTTCACAACCAATGCTTATGGAAACAACAGTCAAGAAATCAAACATCTTGCACTGGACAAATTTGCTGCAAAAGACATCTTTAAAATGATAAAAAGTAAATACATCACTTTGAGACTTGGGTGTGCCTGACCCAAGTCATGTACTTTAGTTGCTTCATATGCATGTGAGAGCTACACAGTGAATACGGAAGACCATAGAGGAATCGATGCATCTGAGCTATGGTGTTGGCAGAGAATGCTGAGAAGTGCCATGGACTGCTAGAAGAATGAACTAACCTGTTCTGGAGAAGTAGAGCCAGAACACTCCTTATTAGAAGCAAGGACCATGGAACTCCTTCTCACGTACTTTGAACATAGTATCAGGAGTGATCAGTCCCTGGAAAAGGACATCATGTTTGGTAAACTGGACGTTCAGAGACAAAGAGAAAGACCTCCAGCGAGACGGAGTGGCGCAGTGGCTTCAACAATTGTGCGGGTTAGTATCTCGCTCTGCTGTGCATAGGGCAGCTATGAGTTGGCGCCAACTCGACAACATTCAATAATGACAGCACATAAACTTAGGACTCAGTCACCCTGTCCAAAGTCAGCTAACTGTAGACACAGAACAGCCAGTACATGCCCCAGGCGGATTCTCACTTCACCGAAGAGAGATGTGTCTCCTGGAAGGCTTGGAAACAGTGCTGGCGGTCTTA